GGGGGGGGGGACATGCCACTTTCGGTCAGCTTTAAGTTTTACGGTAATAGAGGGGTTGCTGCATACCCCTGGTATTTAACGTCGGCGAACCATGAAACGTTTTCTGCTCGGTCGTCCTTAATTTTTTTAAGAGATTCAGAGTATCGTGTCACGCTGATATTTGAAAACCGAATTGAATTTCTTTAATTTTGAATTTCTTTGATTTTCTATTGATCTAGACTAATTTGGTTTTTCATCGTTCTGCATAAGAAGATACATGACGAGCAAATGACTATCTTTCTGTAAAAGTAATTTTGAGTTAAATAAACAGACAAATGACTTTAGAGAATTATTCGGCGCATAAAAAAATGTAATATTATAAAAATCAGAATAAAGAATTTATTTATCAGACATCAGTCAATACTAAGAGCTTTATATGATGCAAAATTATTACTTCATAGGCCAATTAAATGATCTTATCTGACAATATTTTAAAAAAGTGATTTTCGAAAAACATTAGTTTCTATTGCTTTGATCTGTTATATGCTGTCGTGATTTCTTGATATTTTTAGTAAATTATAATAAATGAATTTATGAATAAATGAAATTATAATAAATGAAATTTTGTTCAAAGTCCAATTTAAATTAAACAAAGTGAAAATAACAAAGTGAAAAAATAAATATATTCATTATCGTTATTTATATGTGTGTAGTTACGTATCTTTAAAGTGTAATCTTCTCGAGAAAGCTCTTTGTGTCGCTTAATTTATCATAATAAAAAAATTATTATTAAAAATTATCTCAGTTAAAAATCTTATTTCAACACGGAAAGAACACTTTTGCTGAATCCAGATCTGAAAATAATTTTTGTTCAATAATCAAAATAATTTTGTGCAAAAGTCAAAATGATTGCTAGAATATCAAAACGTTTTATAATAATGCTTATCAGTTTTAACATTCCAACAAATTATTTTAATGATTTAATAAAAAATTATTTTCAGATCTGTTTTTAGCAAAATTTTTAGACCTTTCAACAAAATCGTTCTTTCCGTGAAACTGATCAAAGCTTTCATAGATAAAAGAAACGGTCAGTTTTTCTCGAGGTTGCGAATGTAAAACGTTTTTCTTTTAATTTCTATCGGAAAAATGTGAACACTAGATGGTGTGAAGCGCCAATATGTACACTACGGTGTACGATTGGTAAGATCATCCGCATTTCGCACGAATCGTGCTTCTCGTAGAAAATCCTCTGCCATCAACGATCGATGGTCGCGACTGAATCATTGCGCATCGCGTTCCTTCGCGGCACGACGTAATGCCGAGGGAAAGGCGAGAGAGGTGAGCCTCCTCTTTTTTTTTGTTCCCATTGCTCCGTACGGAGCGGAACCCAATTCGCCGTTTGCGGCCCATTATGCTCGATCATAATTGCGTCGCAACAACGTTTCTCTTTCCTACCATTCGCAGTGTTGGCGGCAGGCTTTCATCTCGGACCGAGATCGAGACCGAGCTTCTGTTTCCGAGGTGTTTCCGCCGCCGGCTACCGTCCTGGATGTTGGAACTTGATCCTAAGTAGTCGTTTTCGTGAAAGAGGGGCAGGAGGCCGAGGGACGTTGTTGCGGTAAAATGCGCCACCGATGGATATGGTAGCCGGACGCGCGGGACAGAGAGGGAGAGTGGCGCCGTGTAGCTCGGCGTCCTCCGTTATCGTCGTTTTTTAAATTATTCCCGTGGTTGCTCATTTGTTACGTGTTGGCCCGATCGCCCAATATGTTCGTATAAAACCCGTAAAAACAACAAAAAAAAAAAGAAACGAGGAAGAGTACGAGAGCTGAACATCGCAAGCATTAATTCTTGGAATAATGTTTCATAATATTTAAAATAAAATATGTTTTCATAAAATATTTGAAATAAGGAATTTAGTCAACTGAAATTTTTGAATAAAATAAACAGGATAGACAAACATGACGTATCGAGTTATCGAGGTTTCGCACGTGTTCCAGATTATGCCGTATTTAGCGGCGTTGATCCTGACAATAATTGCCGAGGACAAACCGACAAATACGGTCTCCGTTTCCTCGATTTCCTTGAGTTCGCCGACGGAGTATCAGAGCAACACGATAAGGAAGGTGATGAGCTACTTAGGGAAGTACGGGCTAGAAGATCAGAGAGCCCTGAAGAGAGTATATCTAAGCAACAGGTCGATCACTTGCAACGATGGCTCGCAGGCCGGTTTCTACCTACGAAAGTCCCACGGTTCTAGGCGGTGGATCATGTACCTGGAGGGCGGCTGGTATTGCTACGACCAAAAGAGCTGTAGGACCAGGTGGATGCGGATGCGGCATCTGATGACGTCAACCCAGTGGCCCGAGACACGCGACGGTGGGTCCTCGATCGCTTATAATTATACGTCGCGCGGAACGAAAACGATTTTCCGCTCGTGCATCCAAGTATCGAAACTCGCGCTGCGTCATAAATTAATTTCACGTGGTGATCCTCCACGGACGCGCGTTTTTAAATGTTCGTATTGCTCCTCGCATCAGTTTATTAATACATGTTATGCGATGCGGATCAACACATAAGAGTACATTTTATTATACACGAATGATATTTATTGCATCGCAAGGACAACATAAATCATATTTTTTCATCCGACTTATTTATGCATATCGGAGATATTCTGAACCAATAAATCGTGATGTTAATGTATAAATTTATGTACACATACAAAGTATATTTAAATTTATATCCAATATATATACATGGGGTATTCTCTGTCAAAACGGCCACCCTTCCCTGCCCACTTCAATTTTTGAGATAAAATTCAAAAGATCTTAAAATTTTTATTGAAATGTCTGTTTCTTGATGTCGTATGACCTTTTTAAAAATTCAAGATGGCGGATCCAGAATTGCGACTAGAATGAACTGTCGTCAAAAAATTTTTGGAACAAACTTTTATTACTGAAGCACAGAGGGCTAGGAAATTTTTCTATTTCCATAAATTAAGGTTTTAGGGGTCGCTGAATACGAATCCGCAGTCATAATTATAAAACAATGATGAACCCAATATGCCGGCCAAACTTATTGTTAGCCAATTTTCAAATAATGCAAATTTTTTGCATAAGACTCACGAAACCGGAGTTTTTTGGGTCACTAATCATGGAATTTTCAGTTATTAAAGCAGCATTTGGGATATCGAATCCAATATGGTGGGTGGAATATGTGCATCTCGCAATTAACGTTCAAGTTGGAAGATTTTTTTGGACATTAATGTGTAGACATTGGGTTTCTGATTGCAAATTATCATTTTTTACTTAAAGTTCAAGGCTGTTGAGCCAATATGGATAGATAAAATATGGAAATAATGGAATTTGCATCATTTGAAGTTTGACCGGCATTTGGATTCGTTATTGTAAATTTTATAATTATGTCTGCGGATTCGTATTCAGCGACCCCCAAAATCTTAATTTATTGGAAATAGAAAAATTATCCTTCAATAATTAAAGTTTGTTCCAAAAATGTTTTGACAACAGCCCCTTCTAATCGCAATTCTCTATCTGCCATCTTGAATTTTTAAAAAGGTCATACGGCATCAAAAAATAGATATTTCAACAATAATTTTAAAACCTTTTGAAGTATTTTGTCTCAAAAGCTGAAGTGGGCAGGAGGGGTGACCATTTTGACAGAGAATGCCCCACTAATATATATCATTATTGGATATTCTTTCCATTACATAATTTAATTTATTAATTAATATTCTGTTTCTAATTTTTCTTGATAATTTAGTTCTAAACCTTTGTCAGAAAATATTCAATTAAAATTAATTAAAAAAATTGGCTATAATATATATTCAATTGAATAGAGATCTATTTCGCCAAAATTTTGCAAGTTTTGCAACATGCAGGAACTACCGATGTCTTTTTTAATTTATTCTTCAATATCTGTAGCTGCAAGGCAACAGGTGATTCTGTGTCAGTATATACACATTGCATATATTGCCACTGATTACCAAAATAAAAGTATTCAAGTATTCGATTTTTTCAGTGGGTGGGATGCTCTCACCGAATCCCGATGAGAATCCATTCTTTTGGGGCACGAATCACGTGTAGGTATTGTCCATCGTATAGATCGATCTCCCGTCACTGCATCAAAAATTGAAAGGCTTGCTGCAACAATGGGCTAACTCACATTTTGTAACAACGGAGAAAATAAACTCTAAAGTTAAGGTGATGAACTTTAAAGTTCATTTTCTCCGTTTTATAAAATGTTACAAAATGTAGGTTAGCCCACTGTTGCAGCAAGTCCTTCAATTACGTCTTTTCATAACGATGTCGTTGTTGTTATTTCATAGTTTCGTTCCTTATTGCACGAGCGACAGCTGGAGCGGCACTAGGGCCTTCAGGTCGCCGAATGACATGTTTTCCTTCATGGGGGCAGAGATCGTGGTCCAGGTCATCCGGGATTTGGTTCCCCTTGGCCTCGAAAACGCAAGCGCCTTTCTTTTGGCTGGTAGTAGCGCGGGTGGCACCGGCGTCATGTTGAATTTGAATCGCGTTCACAATCTGATACATCACGAATTGGGTACGTCGTAAACGATTTATCAATTATTGCTCTAATTAAACGACTCCCGATTCATTATATTGATAATTGCCGCAATGTTCATGATAATATATGTTCCTCATTTGACAAACCAATTATGCTTAGGCAAGTCGATAATGGTTATTACGAATCATTTACATTTATCAATATTATTGCTTGAGCGTAGAATTACATTTCAATTTGCCTTCTCAATAATTTCTCTTATTAACACTGACACCAATCTATTTTCTCATACGTTATTCTACATTTTTAATACTTATAAAAATGCAGCTATCGAATATAAATTTTCCAAAATGCTGTACATCTATATATACATATACAAGGTGTCCTGAAATTCGCGAATGAAAATATCATAGCAAGAATGTCTTCGAAAAATGAAGTAAAAAAGTTATGAGTAAATTTTTATTTTAAGCAATGGTTTTTGAGATATAAGGGTTTAAATTTAGCCAATTATAGATTAGTACTCGCGTGAAATGCGCGACCACTAACACTACGCGCTCACAGAGATGTTACCGTTTAATCGTAATCTATAATTGGCTAAATTTAAACTCTTATATTTCAAAAACTACTCTTAAATTAAAAATTTACAAATAACTTTTTTACTTAATTTTTCAAAGACTTTCTATGATATTTTGATTCGCAAATTTCGGGACAATATGTATATAAAATTTGCACACAAGAATTTTTGTTTTAACATTGAATGAAAAAAAATATTTATATACTATTGCTAAATATTCAACTCGGATTAATATACGCATATTGATTTCTTTTCTATATTTTTTGTCAATTTATCTAATTTTGTTAAGCATTTCAGTTTTCTTTAATCACTGATTCTATAATTCAATTATTAAATAATAAGATTTATCTATGCAGGCTTGAGACGCGTTGCTATACGCGGCGTGTCGGATTCCGGATGGTTCCTCGACAAAGCGCCTTATTCTCCGAACGGCCTGTCGCCGATCGACGCGATTCAAAAAGGGATGGAATTATGGAACTCTCGGATGCCTCGCAATTGCGAAATTAGATATCCTAATGAGCCATGGAAATGCTTTTTTGGATATCGACTATATCCAACTTTATCCGGTGAGTTCAAATCTCATAAAATTTTATTTTAAAAATTTCAATAGTATATCTAAAGTATCTAAATTGTGAACTGTTTCGAAGAAAGTTTAAACTCTTTTATTTAACATCCTAGCACCGTTGTTTGTCTTTCAATGGATATTCGATGAGGCCCAAATGAAGGCCTACAATGTCGCTGCGCCAGTGACAAGACAGCAGTGGAACTACATACATGAAATGGGCGACAGTCTGCGGAAGACGTTTGAAAATGTTACTGCGGTTTTTGCCCCGAGTTGCATTAGTCACAGCGTCTTGACGAAAAGAGATTGGAAGACAATCAAAATAGATGAGGTTTCCTTTGCGCAGGCATTGTTTTGTTGGGATCAAATGCCGATCAGAAATTATCGTAACAACGAACACAACAAGTAAGTATGTATGGAATTCTTTGTGGCGTGACCGCCGCCGACTGTAAATATATATTCATCGATACCGCGTTGCTTGTTCGAGAAAATATTTGTCGAAGTGTAGTTACTTTGGGATTCATATCTCGGGACATAAATAAATCAATGATGATCTCGAGATCAATGACGGTCGGGACCTCGAAGAGACCTCGAATGATGTTTTTCGTTCTGCTACAGTACTCACTCGCAAATCGAGACCAATCAACCGTGCGGGAAGTCGCTGAAAAAGCTATTGCGTTCTGGTATCAGAAAGGGAAATGGTACCACGATCGAAGGCGGAAAAAGCAGAGTTGGATCCTCTACGGAAACGCAAAAAGCCCGATTGTCTGCCGTTGGCAAAATGCAGGAAAGAAAGCCAGTCTCCGGCTCGGTTCAAGAGCGGGAGAAGAGGCGAAAGAGGAAACATAAAAGAAGGAGAGAGAGGAAGGAGAGAGAGAGAAGTAAAGATGAGAGAATGAAGAAAGAGAAACCCAAGCGAAGAAAGAACACTGGTACGGTTTAGCAATGCACAAACATGTTTTGAACCTTGCTCAATAACAGACGACATTCTTTGAATAGTTTCAAGCTGTTTCATACATAATCTTGTGTATTCGTCGAAAACTCATTTGGCACTGCACTCGATTTCGCGATAATATATTAATTTCAGTTTATTATTAATTTAAAAAATTGATTTTTTTATTGCGGTTTTGCATCGACTAATATGATTTTTCAAAGTTCCTTATATATGTATTTTTCCGCAGGTCGTCGCAAAGGCGGCAAACAAGTTTACGGCAATAACCATACGGCTGTATTTAACGGCATCAGGCCGCAACGATCGGTAATGCCGTCATTCAAGCGGAAGTGCGTTAAGAACTGCCATTTCCGTATGATCGAGCGCTGCACTTGGCCGCAATGTAACCATAGCTGCCCCAAGCTGCATAATCCTTTTACGGGCGAGGAAATGGAATTTATCGAACTGCTCAAGAGCTTTGGTCTAGACATGAAAAGTGTTGCGAATGCCCTCGGCATCGATATACATACGTTGAATAGTATGGATCAGAATGAGTTGCTGAATCTTCTGACACAACGCGCGAACTAGCAAAACATTCTGTCGTAACGAATATGCAGAGTTTTCCTGCTTGCTTTACCAATCTCTCCGTTGACACGTCTAGAGTCAGAGCTCAATATTTACATACAATTTCAAATATCACGTTTCAAGTAACTTGGAACGGTTCGTATCACCTATCTCAGTGGTACCAACGTTACAGTACTTAAATTAGAGAACATATATTGCTAGTATAGAAATTAAAAGTATAATGAAAATCTAACGAAATATTGAAAGTATAGATATCTATACTTCTAAATTTTAAATGTTGCGTACTACGCCAACATTACGAAAGTTTATTATAAATCTACAATACTAATAACATAAATTTGAATAATTATATATATACATATGTATATATACAGTGAACAACTTTGATATTTGAACATAATTTTTATTACATTGTAATTTTAACAATGACAAAGAGACAAAATATTTGATTATAAATTACGTCACAACATTGGTTCTACTTAATAAACCTATAAACTTTATTTATATAACAGATAATATTTATTGCATAATTTATTTTAAACAAAAATAATGTTTGATTTTGAGATTACAAAAATATTCGGACACTTTTAAAAATATTTTTAAAATAGTTTTTATTTAATATTTTCATGAACAAAAATTAATCTATATCTCAAATTGTATCTCATGCTCTTAAAATGTGAATATTAATTTAATTTTTTATAAAAAAACACTAAATTTGACTAAAGTTTAACGTGATGATAGTAATAAATGTAAATCAAAATAAAAACATTTGATTGTGTTAAATTAATAAACCGTAATATAATTATGAATTTTACAATTGTATACAAATTATGTACATACAATAAGATAATAACAAATAAAAAATAACGCAAATGGCGCGCAGAAAGCGCGCGCTCTAATCTAGTGCACTAAACATTGCATTCATTATATAAATGAAGTTTTATACGTCTCTTTGTCATGAATAAAATTACAGTGCAATAAAGTAAAAATTATATAATGTCCGAATATTAAAGTTATTCACTGTATATACATATATACATAAACATATATATATATAATGCATAATTATATAATTGTATAATGTTATGTAATATTATGTGTAATATTGTTATTACAATAATACTATATATAATATTAAATAATATATTATATAATTATATTACGCAAAGAAAAAATGTAATTATATAACATGACGACATACCAAATCAAGCTTAAAATATGTATTTTTTGTTAGTTTGATAATAATCTTGCATACATCTTTATAAATCATTGGCTGCCAGTGAATTAAGTCGATGAATTATTAGAACATGTAACATGAAACATATAATTTTCTGTTCGTTTGACAGCAATAATTTAATGTACGCAGTATGCTTGAATAGAGACGCGTTATGCGTTTTTTGACCAAATATAACGCGTTTAACCAAAATGGATGTACATAAATTCATAGAAATGCCTCTTATGGTGCGTTTGCAGGACTGGCTTCGCTGCAAAGACGAGAAAGCCGAGAGAATGAAAATTTCGATTGGCATTTTCGCCGACGAACAGGGAAAAACAAGAGTTCTGACGTGTAGAAAGTGTATATTTTATTGTAATTGTACGACTACACGAATTATCTTAATTTATTATAATTTATAGGTAAAATAACCGATCATGTAAGTATATTTTACGAATTAATTCGTACGTTCGTGGCGCAGAGTTTGTCGTCAAAATCAGAAATCGGGCGAAAGGCAGAATCTCTCTAATTTCGTATATCTGTTCAAATGCAATCCTTTTCATTTCCTCCGGGTCGTCCTTCGATTGTCTCTTGTTAAAAGATCCTTTTTTTTAGATAATATATCTCGATACATCTTTGTGTTCATTACATCATAGAGCAATCACAAATTCAGTTTGCCGTTTGTCATTTAGATCAGAATCAGCGCAACTCAATTTACATACACGAAAGACTGTATAAGGATCTTCCAGTGGCAAATAGGACTGATTCTTTTATGTAACGTCGGAACGGAAATTCATCAACAAACAATTGACCGTGAACTCAATAAGTATAGACTACGCATTCCAATGAAATTGCTACTACCGGTTTAAAAAAGAGCCAAGCAGTTGTGTATCGTTTCTTTCTCTAAGTATCAGTAGTAAGGATAATGATGGTTAAAGAGAGACGTTCTAATATGATTCGACGTATTGCGTTCTCTTTCTGACGGAGCACAGATGCTAAACATCAGAAGATACCGAACACGCAGTCTGTACTTATTAGATATATCTGTGCAATTGACCGACCGACAAAACAGCTTCATAGACTGATTAAATTATCTACCTCAACGAATCAAATCGTATTAATGTCCTTCATGTACTATAATTGTCAGCTTAGAACATCACGATACAGTGTTATTGTAAGTTAATGCGCGTAAAGTATATATTGTATCTATGTCTTTAATTATATGTAATATAACTCTGCCAAGGTATTGTTATTTATTTAATATATAGCGTATATATAGTATCTGACGATTGCAGCGACATGTATTTTTTGTCGTATGCACATACATATAATATGTCGATGGTATCAATAAAAAGTATTGTAACTATGAAAAGCTATATATTCTTGTGAGATAATTATTTATACAATAATTTTTTCCCTGAAACTATGTTTTGTTTTTATATCAGTTACAATAGAAATAAAATATTAAATTATTACAAAACTACATTGAAGACTAAAACACAATATCTATTATTTTCAAACATTTTCAACTGATAAAATGATAGTAGTTAAAAGATCAAACCAATATCCAAAAGTGCAGTTACTTTTACTGATGCGATCGATATACTAACTTTAAAATTCTATTTTGAGATTTTATTTATTTTTGTAATTTTTCTAAATTGTGACACCATCTATGCGAATGCGATCGAGATTTCACAGTTCAAAGCTTTTACTTGCATCCACATATACTGTAACATGTACTGTTATCTTTTAAAAAAGCATGACACTGTAAATAAATTGTATATCTGTTCTATTGAGAGCTTTATGGATTATTTATATTCCTGCATTCGAGTCCCGCACAGACCAATAATGTTTAGTAAAATCCTTATTATTATCATATGCTACCGTATATATCTCCATCAAGATTTTTTATATGTAATCCATATAAAAAAAAATACATATAATTATAATCTACAGGTTGTCTTGAATTTAAATGTCCAAACTTCGGGAGATTTGGTCGGAGATCGATAAGAAAAAAGTCCTTAAGAGATATGCTCGCGTTTTTGCTTCGTTTCTTTCGGAGAAAATCGCAAAAAAACAAAACGTAATTTTTATTTTTGTAGTTATTTATTATTTATTCATTCACATTTATTTACATTGCCACTTCCTTAATGTAGATACTATGCAAAAGTTAATACACGGATATCATATCAGCATATTCAATGTTAGAATATGTACGTGGCATATGGTGACAGGAGTCATTTATTTGATGATTTCTGATGAGTAACTGATAAATTTATAGGAGAAAGACAGAAAACAAACAAAAAAGTTTCCACCAGAAAACGGAATATTATTGTTTTCATGTCCGATTTTTGCAACAAGTATTTCAGAGGCGGAGTATAATGCGCGCCGATTTTCAAACAGAGGAATGCTAAAACGACAAGTCATTATTGCAAGAGGACCACATTTTAAACAATATCTACATTAAGGAAGTGATAACGTAAATAAATAAGTGTGAATAAATAAATAATTCTATATCTATCTATCTAAAAAAGTGCATGTAAAGTCGATAACTCGCATTTCTCGAAATTATTTGTTGTCGCTTTTCCGCGATGCTGGTTGTCGATGCTGCGCTTACTTCGTGTAAGCGGCTGTCATTGGATTTCGACAGTTGTGTGTATTGAGGTTGATGTTATTGAAAATTATACTCGTTCTAAGAAGTGTTAAATAGCGCGCGCAAAGCGCGCGTTTGTAGTGCTAGTAGTTACAAAAACTACGTTTTGTCTTTTTTTTGCAATTTTCTCCAAAACGAAACCAAAAAACGAGCAGTCTCTAAAGGACTCTTTTTTTTTTCTTTTAGTTCATCGATCCCCTAGACGCTCCCGAAGTTTAGACATTTAAATTCAGGACAAAACGCACGCGCCATTTATAAAAATTAAAAAAAACATATTTATATTTCTTTTCATTTATAAAAATGCGTAAAAAAAGAGCTTGTAAACAATTTTTCTCATTAAAATATCAATTGAATAATTTCTCCGCGAAGAACATTTACAAATTATTAATTTCAGCGCGGAATCAACATACAAATGCGATTTGTAACGTGTACTCGCGATCGCGACCTATCCCAACAAAATGGAATTCTGTGCATGCCATAAAATACCCTAAAATACCACCGATAAATCGCGATCTACAGCCTCGATCTATACGTAATGATTAATCTGTTTGCTCTCACGACGCGCTCCCTCCTGACATGCAGTGTCCCCCTACACGCGATGCACGAGGGCGCATAATTCAATGAATCCGTTCTCTCATCCTCCACCGATCGGTCGGTCGGGTACGCATCCATCGTCGGCTCTCCCTCGAAACTATATATTCCGCGACGGCGGCGTACGCAGGAAATGGTATTTAACAGGCCAGGCCGGGCTCGACCCCGCTGGTGCACGCACGTAGCCGATAGTCAACGTGATGGAGAGGCGGACGTAGGGAAGAGAGAAGGAAAACTGAACGAGTACTGGTTCCTCCTCGTGTCCAATTGACGCGTCCGAGGAAGTGATGGAAGGATGGAAGCGCAAATGTACTTGAACGTCCCGTAGCGGGTTCTACATTAGACTACTTCGGTTACCGGTACCGGTAGTAGTTCGTTCGACTGCCTATCGTTCAGTCGTCGGGACTGTCAGTAGAGGACCACTGCGTCGTTAACAGTGGCCATCTGAATTCGTTTCCCATACGATTTTCGTCCCGTAGAAGTTCCGAAGTTTCTCGATGTGACGATAATGTTTGACCTAGTCGAGAGATTCTCTTACACGTGACGGAAAAGTTGGACGTAGACAATCGGAAGAACCGTGTGTCGTCGTCACCAAGCGTGAAGGCTCATATTTCTAAAACCGCGTTCGTATACAGGGTAATTTTTCACTCGCAGAGAGAACGAGATGAATTTTCGAAGTGTATAGCGATATTATCAATGACGTGGATAATCTGATAGTGAATTTCACTTAAACTTTAGTCAAAAATACAAAAATAATATTTGATATATTTTTCTACAAAAGTTTTGTTTTATTGTTTCCTTTAAAATTCTACATGTGCAACTTTTATGTAGAAAATATTCTCAACTCTTCAAAAGTGAAAATTTATTAATCATTATTTAATAAAGATTTATTTACGGCAACATTGTTTATTGTGATTAAGTTGTGAATTTCAGAAACTCTGAAGACATCCGTTATGCTCGAAGAAATCAGATATTGTTTGATTACAACACAAGTGCATAATATTTGCTGACATCGGAGCATCGGAGGCCATAGATAAATAATTTTTATCGAAATCTCATTATTTCAATCATGTTGAAGGGAATCGTTCTGCTGATTCTTCATGTCTTCTGCGACATTGGTGAGAAAACTAACTATTGCATTTAGATTACGTTTTTAAGCATAACCTCTATTATTTTGTTAGAAACGCAAAATAACATGTGTTTAAAGCAAATGTTTTTTAATAATCTAAAAAAATTCAATATTATCAAAAGCAAATTGTGTTACGTAAATACACTTCTCAACAAAATTAAATCGCTTACTCTATCCTCCAAAAATAGGCAAAATTTAAGAGAGTGTAACTTTGTCAAAAATGATCGTATCGAGATGTTCAAAAAAGCATTTTACAGCTTGAAATCTCTACTTTTCAAATCGATACTTAACAAAACGATCCTAATGATCTTTCATGGAATTACACGGATAGAAAAGGAGACTCGAATCTCAAAATTTTTTACGAACTTTGACAAGTTCCATGGCGCGAATAAAAAGTCGCATGCAAATGCAGTTTACTGCTTTCGAAAGAGTGAATCTTTACCTTCAATTTGCTTTTTTGTTGAGCGTTGTACGATTTCTTTTCACCGAGTTATTCAATATTGAAGCAAAAATGGTCCTTTTTGCTTCAATTTGGAAAGTAGAGATTTCAAGTTGTAAAATACTTTTTCGATCATCTCGATACGATCATTTTTGACGAAGTAACACTCTTGAATTTTGCCTATTTTTGGATGGTAAAG